CCGAAATATCCCGTGTTTGGTATCAAATTAAAGGGAATTTAATGTAGATTACGAATATAAAGTTAAAAATTTAATTAAATTTTTTTGCTTGTAGTAAGTAAATGAAAATAATTTTAATTTTGAGGTTTTTATTAAGCAGGAAATTGAAAATGCTTCAAAATGAGTCCAAACTCGATGTATTTATCTTCAAAATTAAGGAATATACAAAAAAAATGAAATGGCGGCCATTTTGAATGATTTAACCTCACTTTTTTCTTCATTTTAACCGAAATATCTCGTGTTTGGTATCAAATTAAAGGGAATATAACATAGATTACGAACATAAAGTTAAAATTTTAATTACAATTTTTGCTTGTAGTAATTAAATGAAAATAATGTAAATTTTGATGTTTTTATTAAGCGGGATATTGAAAATGCTTCAAAATGAGTCCAAACTCGATGTGTTTATCTCCAAAAGTAAGAAAATTACAGAAAGTATTTAATTGGCGGCCATTTTGAATGATTTTAACGTCACTTTTTTTTTTAATTTTACCCGATATATATCATGTTTGGTATCAAATTAAAGGAAATTTAACGTAGATTACGAATATAAAGTTATTATTTTAATGCAAATTTCTTACATGTTATAATTAATCGAAAAATTTGTAATTTTGATGCTTTTAGAAAGCGGGAGATTGAAAATGCTTCAAATTGAGTCCAAACTCGATGTTTTTATCTTCAAAACTAAGGAATGTACAAAAAAAATTTAAATGGTGGCCATTTTGAATGATTTAACCTCACTTTTTTCTTAATTTTAACCGAAATATCGCGTGTTTGGTATCAAATTAAAGGGAATTTAACGTAGATTACGAATATAAAGCTAAAATTTTAATTACATTTTTTTATTTGTAATAATTAAACAATAATTTTGTTATATTGAGGCTTTTATTAAGCGGGAGAATGAAAATGCTTCAAAATGAGTCCAAACTCGATGTATTTATCTTCAAAACTAAGGAATGTACAAAAAAATTGAAATGGCGGCCATTTTGAATGATTTTAACCTCACTTTTTTTTTTAGTTTTAACCGAAATATCCCGTGTTTGGTATCAAATTAAAGGAAATTTAACGTAGATTACGAATATAAAGTTAAAATTTTAAATGGCGGCCATTTTGTATGATTTCAACCTCACTTTTTTTAGTTAATTTTATCCGAAATATTTCATGTTTGGTATCAAATTAAAGGGAATTTAATGTAGATGTTAAAAAATATTTTCTTTTATAATAAATCGAAACATATCGCGTTTAGCATCGAATTAAAGCGAATTTAACCCGGATTACGAAACAAAAAATTTTCCAAGTTATTTTTTTACATTTCCTTTTAATCTAAAACGTGCGCATGATAACCGCCCGAACAATTCTCGTTGGGAAACCGTTTCAATTGCAAAACGGACTTCGGTATTTATCCGTTTCGCAATCGGGAGGACACGAAAATGTTTAAGATTGCTCAAGTAACAACGGTTGAGCAATAATATTCGTGGGGTTGCTCGTTATCAATAACCAACAATTCCAAGGCGCTTTTTATTGCGCAAGATGATTGTCGAGTTTTTCGCGTTCTCCGGTTCTTGGGATTCTTCGAAAATATCTTGCGTGATAAGTGATAAGAAAGGGGTATAAAAGTGCGACGCGGTTTTACGACCATCAATTCGGGCTAACCTACACCAAGTTAGCTAATACAAACCGAGGATAATGACGAAAATTCTGCAAATAGCCGTTGTGTGCCTTTTTATCGTTGCTTCCATTCAGGGTAAGTTCATTGTTTTAGTTGTTTTTTGAAATAATTGGGTGTAATTTTTTTTTAGGGCGTCGATTGAAAAGAGCCTCATTTAGTTATGCCATTTATGCATGTCGTCTTGACTGTTATGGAAAGGAAGATACTGTATCTACTAATCCTTCTCAATCTACACAACCTTCTATAGTAACAGAATCTTCTGCAAATACAGAATCTTCTGAAGAAACAACACCTTCTGAAGGAACAACACCTTCTGTAAATACAGAACCTTCAGTACCTACAACACCTACTGAATGTACCCCATCAGCTGACTCGAACGCCACAGGTAAGTAAACATAAATATCAACATTAATTCACAAACTTTTCGTTCAATTTTTTGATAGATTGTGAGAATGAAAAAAATGTTATATTGATATGGGTGCAAATAACACAAAATATGCAATGTGACATAGGCAATACCCTAAGATCTTTCTTCACTGTGGTCTTCACTTCTAAAATCAAAGCATTAGTAGCTATTAGAAATGTATTGGTCAACGGATATACAGAACTAACAAATTCAGCCGTAATACAATTGAAAGCATCATTGACGGTGATTCTTGGAGCAAGATTTAATGTCACCTCTAGTTTGAAGTCTATACTTACGTCTGGAGTATCAAGTGGACTTGATTTTGCGAATAAACTTGCCGCGGGATTAAACGAAAATAAAGACGTTTCTATTACTATTTCTCAATTTTTCGGTTTCTTTTCTCGAAGTTCTGGAAGTAGCTCTATTCCATGCATTTGCAATGCTATAAATTCTTTCAAACAAATCACTCCTTCTGTTCTATCAAGTAAATATGAAAACTGTAATTTTTTTTTAGGAATACTTACTAAAATTCAATTAAATCTTCAGGTGTACTGACTTCCGCACTGAATAAGACTTTAGGTATCTTTGGTGGTAGTGGTGGTGTCATTGTTGGAGGTGGCGGTAGCAGTGGAGGTGACGGTAGCATTGGAGGTGACGGTAGCATTGGAGGTGGCGGTAGCAGTGGAGGTGACGGTAGCATTGGAGGTGGCGGTACCATTGAAGGTGGCAGTAGCATTGAAAGTGGCGGTAGCATTGGAGGTGGCGGTAGCAGTGGAGGTAGCGGTGGCATTGGAGGTGGCGGTAGCTTTGGAGGTAGCGGTAGCATTGGAGGTGGCGTTACCAGTGGTTTTGGCCAACATATTGTATCAGATAACAGACACCATCACAACAAAAAGCACCATCACACCGCTAATAAAAAACACCATCACAAGCAAGAACACAACAAAAAACACCACCATCACGAAAAGAAACACAACGAGGCTAAGAAACATCATCATCAGAATAAACACCATCAACACCAAACCCGTCACCATCACAAAAAAGCACATAGAGGACAACACGAAAAACAACAAGAATAAAAAGAAAAATTACAACGACCGAAACTTCGATGACGAACTTGGCGATGACCACGGATTTAGCAAACTAAAACATATATCTTAACCCGAATTCTGTATTCCTAATCGTAAGGTTGCTTCTAATTTATAATAAATGCACGACGAACATTCCAAAAATGAATTTGTTGTTTTTTTTTTGTCTTGAAAACGATTCGACTCTTTTTTGTTCAAAAAAACACCCTGTATACAGGGGTCTTGCGTAACTGGTTTTTCAGGTTAAATTATTCGTAGAGATTTGAAATTTTGATACTAGGAATTATTCATCCGAAATTTTCGATCTAGAATATTTTCAAGATGGTCGCCACTTCCGGTCTACCGGAAATAGACCATAACTTTGTTATTTTAAATGGAATGCTATAGTTTTTATTACATCTTCTAATTGTACGTCAAAAAATAAGTTGACTTTGATAAAACTTATTGGTACCTAGCTTTTTTCGTTTTCGAGTTATTTTCGTTTTAAGCTTTTTTTCATAAATTTCACCATGCTCTTTAAAATCCCATATCTCAGCCAACGTTCATTCAAAAAAGCTATAAATTGGCAAGATTACTGCTCAGATGCTATCAAATAGATTCACATTTGTTGTATCAGAGTATCTTATACAGGGTGGTCAATAATTGAATTACCGTTTCTCTATATTCAATGGCGAGAAAGTAGAAAATTTTTTTAACCTATCAGAAAGGGAATTTAATTCTCTACAAATTATCTATAAACATTTCTATACATATATATATATATTATAACCGAAAATGATCAAAAACATCAAAATTTTCGTTTTATTTTCGAGCTGGGTTGGTACTATTGATCGGTGGATTAAAATAACTTATTGGATAAGTTTTATGGGTTAATTATAAATCTTTTTTGTTTGAAAACTTTATTTCTATCAGATATAATTAATGAGATATAAAAAAAAATTGATAAAAACGTCAAAATTTCAATTTTTCTTAAGTTGGGTTGGTAATGCTGATAGGTGGAGTAAATATCTTTGTTTAATACGTCTTATGAGGTAATTCTAAACATTTTTTGTTAAAAATATAATTCTCCATCATTCATAATTAATAAGTTATAACCGAAAATGATCAAAAACATCAAAATTTGGTTTTATTTTTGAGCTGAGTTGGTACTATTGATCGGTGGATTAAAATAACTTATTGGATAAATTTTATGGGTTAATTCTAAATCTTTTTTGTATGAAAACTTTTTTTCCATCACATATAATTAATGAGTTATAAAAGAAAATTGATGAAAACGTCAAAATTTCTTTTTTTTTAAGTTGGGTTGGTAACGCTGATTGGTGGAGTAAATATCTTTGTTTAATACGTCTTATGAGTTAATTCAAAACATTTTTTGTTAAAAGAATAATTCTCCCTCATGAACAATTAATAAGTTATAACCGAAAATGATCAAAAACATCAAAATTTGGTTTTATTTTTGAGCTGGGTTGGTACTAATGATCGGTGGATTAAAATAACTTATTTGATACGTTTTATGGGTTAATTATAAATCTTTTTTGTATGAAAACTTTTTTTCCATCACATATAATTAATGAGTTATAAAAGAAAATTGATGAAAACGTCAAAATTTCAATTTCTCTTAAGTTGGGTTGGTAACGCTGATTGATGGAGTAAATATCTTTACTTAATACGCATTCTGAGTTAATTCTAAATGTTTTTTGTTTAAAATATAATTCTCTATCATGCACAATTAATGAGTTATCGCAGAAAATGATCAAAAACATCAAAATTTGGTTTTATTTTCGAGCTGGGTTGGTACTATTGATCGATGGATTAAAATAACTTATTTGATACGTTTTATGGGTTAATTATAAATCTTTTTTGTATGAAAACTTTTTTTCCATCACATATAATCAATAAGTTATAAAAAAAAATTGATGAAAACGTCAAAATTTCAATTTATCTTAACTTGGGTTGGTAACGCTGATTGATGGAGTAAATATCTTTGTTTAATACGTCTTATGAGTTAATTCTAAACATTTTTTGTTAAATAAATAATTCTCCCTCATGAACAATTAATGAGTTATAACCGAAAATGATCAAAAACATCAAAATTTGGTTTTATTTTTGAGCTGGATTGGTACTATTGATCGATGGATTAAAATAACTTATTGGATAAGTTTTATGGGTTAATTGTAAATCTTTTTTGTATGAAAACTTTTTTTCCATCACATATAATTAATGAGTTATAAAAGAAAATTGATGAAAACGTCAAAATTTCAATTTTTCTTAACTTGGGTTGGTAACGCTGATTGATGGAGTAAATATCTTTGTTTAATACATCTTATGAGTTAATTCTAAACATTTTTTGTTAAAAAAATAATTCTCCATCATTCATAATTAATAAGTTATAACCGAAAATGATCAAAAACATCAAAATTTGGTTTTATTTTTGAGCTGGGTTGGTACTATTAATCGATGGATTAAAATAACTTATTGGATAAGTTTTATGGGTTAATTGTAAATCTTTTTTGTATGAAAACTTTTTTTCCATCACATATAATTAATGAGTTATAAAAGAAAATTGATGAAAACGTCAAAATTTCAATTTTTCTTAAGTTGGGTTGGTAACGCTGATTGATGGAGTAAATATCTTTGTTTAATACATCTTATGAGTTAATTCTAAACATTTTTTGTTAAAAAAATAATTCTCCATCATTCATAATTAATAAGTTATAACCGAAAATGATCAAAAACATCAAAATTTGGTTTTATTTTTGAGCTGGGTTGGTACTATTAATCGATGGATTAAAATAACTTATTGGATAAGTTTTATGGGTTAATTCTAAATCTTTTTTGTATGAAAACTTTTTTTCCATCAGATATAATTAATGAGTTATAAAAGAAAATTTATAAAAACGTCAAAATTTCAATCTTTTTAAAGTTGGGTTGGTAATACTGATTGATGGAGTAAATATATTTATTCAATACGTCTTATGAGTTAATTCTAAACATTTTTTGTTAAATTAATAATTCTCCCTCATGAACAATTAATGAGTTATAACCGAAAATGATCAAAAACATCAAAATTTGGTTTTATTTTTGAACTGGGTTGGTAGTACTGATTGATGGATTAAAATAACTTATTGGGTATGTTTTATGGGTAAATTCTAAATCTTTTTTGTATGAAAACTTTTTTTCCATCAGATATAATTAATGAGATATAAAAGAAAATTGATAAAAACGCCAAATTGCAATTTATTTAAATTTGGGTTGGTAATACTGATTGATGGAGTTAATATATTTATTCAACACGTCTTATGAGTTAATTCTAAACATTTTTTGTTAAAAAAATAATTCTCCCTCATAAACAATTAATGAGTTATAACCGAAAATGATCAAAAACATCAAAATTTGGTTTTATTTTTGAGCTGGGTTGGTACTATTAATCGATGGATTAAAATAACTTATTTGATACGTTTTATGGGTTAATTATAAATCTTTTTTGTTTGAAAACTTTATTTCTATCAGATATAATTAATGAGATATAAAAAAAAATTGATAAAAACGTCAAAATTTCAATTTCTCTTAACTTGGGTTGGTAACGCTGATTGATGGAGTAAATATCTTTGTTTAATACGTCTTATGAGTTAATTCTAAACATTTTTTGTTAAAAAAATAATTCTCCATCATTCATAATTAATAAGTTATAACCGAAAATCATCAAAAACATCAAAATTTGGTTTTATTTTTGAGCTGGGTTGGTACTATTAATTGGTGGATTAAAATAACTTATTGGATAAGTTTTATGGGTTAATTATAAATCTTTTTTGTATGAAAGCCATTTTTCCATCACATATAATTAATGAGTTATAAAAGAAAATTGATGAAAACGTCAAAATTTCAATTTATCTTAAGTTGAGTTGGTAATACTGATTGATGGAGTAAATATCTTTGTTTAATACGTCTTATGAGTTAATTCTAAACATTTTTTGTTAAAAGAATAATTCTCCCTCATGAACAATTAATGAGTTATAACCGAAAATGTTTAAAAACATCAAAATTTGGTTTTATTTTTGAGCTGGGTTGATACTATTGATCGATGGATTAAAATAACTTATTGGACAAGTTTTATGGGTTAATTCTAAATCTATTTTGTATGAAAACTTTTTTTCCATCACATATAATTAATGAGTTATAAAAGAAAATTGATGAAAACATCAAAATTTCAATTTATCTTAAGTTGGGTTGGTAATACTGATTGGTGGAGTAAATATCTTTATTCAATACATCTTATGAGTTAACTCTAAACATTTTTTATTAAAAAAATAATTCTCCATCATTCATAATTAATAAGTTATAACCGAAAATGATCAAAAACATCAAAATTTGGTTTTATTTTTGAGCTGGGTTGGTACTACTGATCGGTGGATTAAAATAACTTATTTGATACGTTTTATGGGTTAATTCTAAATCTTTTTTGTATGAAAATTTTTTTTCCATCACATATAATTAATGAGTTATAAAAAAAATTGATGAAAACGTCAAAATTTCTATTTTTCTTAACTTGGGTTGGTAACGCTGATTGATGGAGTAAATATCTTTGTTTAATACATCTTATGAGTTAATTCTAAACATTTTTTGTTCAAAAAATAATTCTCCCTCATGAATAATTAATGAGTTATAACCGAAAATGATCAAGAACATCAAAATTTGGTTTTATTTTTGAGCTGGGTTGGTACTACTGATCGATGGATTAAAATAACTTATTGGATAAGTTTTATGGGTTAATTATAAATCTTTTTTGTATGAAAACTTTTTTTCCATCACATATAATTAATGAGATATAAAAGAAAATTGATGAAAACGTCAAAATTTCTATTTTTTTAAGTTGGGTTGGTAACGCTGATTGATGGAGTAAATATCTTTGTTTAATACATCTTATGAGTTAATTCTAAACATTTTTTGTTAAAAAAATAATTCTCCATCATTCATAATTAATAAGTTATAACCGAAAATGATCAAAAACATCAAAATTTGGTTTTATTTTTGAGCTGGGTTGGTACTATTGATCGGTGGATTAAAATAACTTATTGGATAAGTTTTATGGATTAATTCTAAATCTTTTTTGTGTGAAAACTTTTTTTCCATCACATATAATTGATGAGA